CATTTCCCACAAGTCGCTATTATGAAGGCTTCTACAGCTACCCTACTTTTTACCGTATCACTCGCCCATGCCAAAGGACTTCCATCAAGACCTACAAAACAGCCAGCATGCGGTCTCCGCCCATTCTTAGCTTACGGCGACGTTCCGAGCTCTAAAACATCTGGATGCTACTCATGCAATGATCCATACCGCTATAAAAATCAACTTGAGGGCATATGGACCATGATACTTGTACTGGCGACGATAAAATGTGCACTCTTTATGTAAGTAGAAACAGCTTCAATATTCTCGCTTCAAGCATATCTTATCCCGAATATTAGCTGACTTATCCTAGTATCAGTGTTGTAGATGATGTGTTTATTTACATTCAACAAATTTTGAAGTTAGAACGCGGTACTATTGTTATACAAGTTAAGATTCTGTAGTGGTATATAGGAGAACGTATCGTATTTAACATCTATATCTAACAGTTATGGTCGACGAGCAAAACTAAGCATGACTGCGAGCTCACAGAGGCCAATTGACCCAATGAGTTGTCTTACGGGATAAAGAAATCTGCGCTCTAATTTGATGACCGTATGTTCTCGCTAAAAGTAATTTTGCCATTCCAGCATAACAGACTAGAAATCACCACTTCTACGATCCTCGTAGTAATACACCTTGCCCTCAAACAACCGCCTCGCTGTCCTCGAAACAACACACCGGTCCACAAAAGCAAACGCCTCAGAACACGTAGCCAAAACGTCAACATCAATCGAGCCAGCAGAGTGCGACAGACGCACCGTTCTCGGACTGGGCACCAGGCTAGAAGCAGAGGAAGATGGGTAATCAGAGTTTGATGGGCTTGGGGTGCGTTCCGGAGTGTTCCATTGAGACTCTGGGTCTTCTGGGAATTCCATCCTCTTGGGGGAGCTGGAGGCGAGTGCATGGGCAATAGTACCGTTGATGCATACAGCGGATGCGAGACAGGCAGCGCCAGTGAGTTGTAGACTAGGATGAGGCTTTCCCATGCTAAAAGCCTGGACATGTATGTCTGGTGTCCTACCCGCATCTTCGATACTGTCTGTCTTTGTCCGGGAAGACGAAGACGATAAAATTGCCAGTTTGGGTGTAGCGCGGACTTTTGCAGCAGCTTCCATGCTCGGTGCTAGTCCCATCAAGACTGCGCCCGCGCGTCGAATAGACTCCATATGTTTGAGATATTCCGGTGTGTCTTTGCCGGTTCGATCTGAAGAAAGGCAGGTAATGTCGTCTTGTCGATGAGAACAAAGGGATTGGCGGCGTCTATCAGCGTGCGGTAACACGGAAGCTGGGACCGTCTTTTCTCTTGACGCGATGGTGTCGCTGCGTCTGCTGTAGAAAAAAGCGTGCCGGTCATACTGCCTGCGGGTCGATGAAGGCAACTTTGACTTCACTGCCAGT